AGACATGCGCTATAGGTGAATTGAATAAACTAAATTGTCCATAGAGTATGTGTGTGAATGAGTGTGTATGGATATTTTCCATGGGTTGCAGCTGGAAAGGCATCCACTGCGTAAAACATGCTGGATAAGTTGGCGGTTCATTCCACTGCGACGAGCAGAGATTAATAAAGGGACTAAGCCGAAAAGAAAATGAATGAATGAATTTTCTTTTATCCATAAGAAAATTGGGTTTGACGTGCGAGTATATGGTGTAATTTACTTGGGTCATTTTTAACTCTACCGCTAGATGGCGACAAGTAGCTATTTTGGTATAAAAAGTGATTTAAAAGGCATGAAACAAAACAAAACAATCACCAAATCCAATGCATAACACGATACCAAAGTTTGTCACTGCACGTGTTTCACACGGAATAGCTTAAATGTTACCCAAATTCATTCTGGTGATGTCTGACATCCAGTTTTATATCTAAGAATGTATTGGTGTGAATCGATAGTCAGTCAGCAGCAATGACTGTAAGGGTTACTGAAACAGCATCGTAACAGGTTTCTAGGTTTCCTCTCTTTTTTACCTAGATGTTCTCTGATGAAATCTATTCTCATGTGCTTTCTCTCTTTTATCAGAAATGTGAACAGCTGCAGGGGCACAGCAGGACCACCAAATCCGACACGGCACCATACAGGTTACCAAAATCCAGTAATCCACCTCTGTTTTACACAGAATGACTTTAAAGTTACGCGAATTTAGCCTGACGACATCTAACCTTCTCTTTTATATCAGAAAAAAAGATAAACAATTTGCTCTGTTATGAACAGCTGCAGGGTCAGCCACGGCAGCATCGTATTTTTACGCCTCTCTTTTTCACACAGACTCGCTTTAATGTTGCACAACTTCATTTTGGTGGCGTTTGACTCCCTCTGTTTTATATCCTCCCAAAATATCTCTAATATCAACAGCTGCAGAAATACACCAGGGTCACAAAATGCAATAGGGCAACATAACATAACATGAACAAAATCTGTACTTTCCCTCTGTTTTTACACAAAATGTATTTAATGCTACCAAGATTTAAATCTATGTATCTGTATGCAATTTAGCTGGTGATGTTTAAACTTCTATCTACGCTGTTAAAATGATATGACAAAAAGTCACACCAATCAAATATTTTTTTAAATATTTAAATAGTTTAGTCATACAAAGGTAGTTCATATTTTTATTCAGTTTGACTAATGTAAGTTGATATAACTAGAAAAGTTAAATTGATGAAGCTAATATATATATATATATATATATATATATATATATATATATATATATATATATATATATATATATATATATATATATATATATATTGTAGCTGTAGACATAAAGTAGGGTCATAAAATGTTATTATAAGTGTGACTCTAACTGCTCTATATGTGTCTTTTATTCAAAGAAAATCATACAAAACATTTAAAAGTTTATACCTTCACCGGCCATTTTATTAGGTACACCTGTTCAAATACTTGCTAACGTTTATTTTTAATAAGCTACAATCACATGGCTGCAACTTAATGCATTTAGGCATGTCAAGACGAACTGCTGCTTTTTAAACCGAGCATCAGAATATGGAAGACGGGTGATTTAAGTGACTTTACACGTGGCATAGTTGTTGGCGCCAGATAGACTGGTCTGAGTATTTCAGAAACTGCTGATATACTAGGATTTTCATGCACAACCATCTCTAGTGTTTACAGAGAATGGTCAGAATAAGAGAAAATATCCAGTGAGCGGCACGTATGTGGGCGCATTTGTCTTGTTGATGCCAGAGGTCAGAGAATGGCCAGATGATTGGAGCTGAAAGAAAGGCAACAGTAACTTAAATAACCACTCATTACTACTGATGTATGCAGAAGAGCATCTCTGAACGCACAACATGTCTAACCTTGAGGTGGATGGGCTACAGAAGCAGAAAACAACACCGGGTGCCACTCCTGTCTGCAAAGAACAGGAAACTGAAGCTACAATTTGCACAGGCTCACCAAAATTGCATAATAGAAGATTGAAAAAACGTTGCCTGGTCTGATGAGTCTCAATTTCTACTGCGACATTCGGATGGTAGGGTCAAAATTTAGGCGTCAACAACACAAAAGCATGGATCCATCCCGCCTTGTATGAACGGTTCAGGCTGCTGGTGGTGTAATGGTGTTATTTTCTTGGCATACTTTGGGTCTGTTAGTACCAATTGAGCATTGTGTCATTGCCACTGCCTACTTGTGTATTGTTGCTGACCATGTACATCACCAGAACTCAATCCAATAGAGCACCATTTGGCATGTGGTGAAACAGGAGATTCACATCATGAATGTGCAGCTGACAAATCTGCAGCAACTGCGTGATGCTATCATGTCAATATGGACCAAAATCTCTGAGGAATATTTCCAGTACCTTGTTGAATCTATGCCATGAAGGATTAAAGCAGTTCTGTAGGCAAAAGTGGGTCCAACCTTGTACTAGTAAGGTGCACTTAATAAAGTGGCTGGTGATTGTTCATGCATAGTAAGTTGTAAGTGGCCGGTGAGTGTACAGTATATCATCAGTGTAAGTTTAAGGAGCATTACAGCAGTCTGTCGGAATAAAATGAAAAATGGACTGGGTTATTTTATTCATGTATTTGATGCATAAATAAAATTCAGAGAAGGAAAATACACACAAACAATAATAAATAATGACCAAGCAATAGGACACTTGCAACGTGTTAAACCTGTTTTACAGCACCATTTAATCAGCGTTCATTTTTAACATTTAATGAACAATTTTGTCTGACAAAACTGACACAAGATTTACAGAAGAACAATAATAATCATAAATGTAAAACCTGTTAGTGTTTTTAGCTATGTTTGTTAAGTTATTCACCTAAGTAACCTCCTGGTTTGTTTAAATGCTTTAAAATATTGAGCTTTGGTTAAGAACTAACTGTCCAGTTAAATTTTGTTTACACAGTCACTTTGTCTTAGGAAAATATTTTTACAAAGTGAAACACATTATGGGATTAATTTATCAGTTTGCTAAAAGAATGCACACTGTTGATGATATGACAATAAAGTCTTACAGTAAATTACAAATTTCCTACTGTAAATTAGTTATTCAACAAAATATTTCACTTTCACATACTTTATGAATATAATTTCATCTAACAAGTTACAGTATTTTATATTATTTCAGCTTCATTCTGAATGATGATACTGCATCATGATTTGCCTAAAACAATTTTGCTTCTTAAATAAATACTAAATTATCGTACTTTATTTAACTTGCTTGTAGCACTACTTTATTTGAGGCCTTTTTATAGCCAGATATAAAGCAGGAATTTCAAGTTATCTGTTAAAAAGAAAAGGCACCCATTAATATAAACTCTTTTGCAAATTATTGAATGAAATTAATGCTTTTATGTCATCTATGAGACATCCCATTCTGATGTCTTCATTAAATCAAATTTACAAATGTGATTTAATATACATAAAAATCATAATGCGGTCAGGTTGTGTTCTATAATGTTTGAAATATTTGGCTGAAAATTAAATGTCAATTTGTAGGTTGTCTTCTGCCATTTAGCATCATTTGGGAGCAGATTTTTATTAAACAATGCTGCAGTGTAAAAATTTTATTAAGAAAAATGATACAGTAATTTTTTTTATTTTTTTGACATAGTGAGAGCCATAGATAAAGTTTTTAGTGTCATTAAATTATTCATGTTCTTAACCAACCACAATAGATGAAGTCAGAATTATTAGCCCTCCTAAATTATTAGCCCCCCTGTAAATTTTCTTCCCAATTTCTGTTTAATGGAAATTGCACACATTTCTAAACATTATAGTTTTAATAAGTAATTTCTAATAACTGATTATTTTTATCTTTGTCATGACGACAGGACATAATATTTTATCAGATATTTTTCAAGATACTAGTATTCAGCATAAAGTGCAATAAACTAATTTTGTGAGGAGCACATGCTTATGATTGACCACGGCTGGCCCCGCATCAGCTAACACTTCATGCACCAATCAGATGAATCCTAACTCACTATAAGTAACCAGAGTTTCTCACCTCAGTTATTTTGATCTTAAAAAATCCCCCTTCCACCCCTACTGCTCCTCCCTTTTCCTAGATAGGGTGGCACGGCGGCCCAGTGATCAGCACTGTTGCTTCACAGCAGGAATGTCACTGGTTCAAGTCCTTACCAGGCCAGTCGCATTTCTGTGCATAGTTTACGTTCTCCTCGTCCACGTGTGGGCTTCAACAGAGTTCCCTGGTTTCCTCCCACCGTCCAAAGACATTGACTAATCCACCATAGATGTACTCTAAAGCTGTCACAGTGTACTTTTCTCCCCAAAGACTTCCTTTCAAACACACTCGAATGTGTCAGATTGGAAACAAAAGCTCGTGCGACAAGTTGCATTGCAAAGTTCAAGCTAGGTGAACTCTGACCTTCGAAATCGCATCACTTGACTGTGTGAGACCAATCAAGGGTCAAAACATGACCTCTCTGGACAGAAATTTAAAACATGGACCAATCGCTTGCTTTTTTAAATGTCTAATCATCTTGTTTAAACCCGCCCCTTTTCGCATTCTGTACGACAGAATTTCGCAAGCTCAAACTCTAGCGTGACTGCGTCATTAGTCAGTCATATATATCTTTTAGCAATTCCTAATTCGTCATTAGCCATAACAAGCAGGGGAGTTATTGAGACCTAATGTACCTGAGCTCAAACTCCCCTCTCACCCCTCAAACAGGAGGGAGCCCAGGGCTTGAGAATCTTCTGAGCTAAGGGCTCTCTCAGCATGCCAAATGTGCTTTATTATCAATCATCAGCTAAGTGTGAACTCTTGAGAGGCTTTACTAGGTTAATTAGGCAGGTTAGGGTAAAAAGCAAAGTCGTTGTATAACAGTTGTTTGTTGTGTAAACAATTTAAGAAATATATTACAAAATACATTGCTTTAGATGGCTAATAATATTGACCTGAAATGTTTTTATTAAAAGCTGCTTTTTTGTTGCAGAAATAAAACAAACAAGAAAACAATATTATAGCAATTGCTGTGAAAAATCCCTTGCTCTGTTAAACATAATTTGGGAAATATATAAAAATGTGTGTGTGTGTGTGTGTGTGTGTGTGTGTGTGTGTGGTACATATATATATACATACATATATACATACATATATACATATATATATACATATATATATATATATATATATATATATATATATATATATATATATACAGGGGCGCAACTGCACATTTACTGATGGGTATGCGGCTTCAACTTTTACGTGCCCCCCTTCAATCCAACTATATTTTATAACAGGCAAGTGATAAAATGTGGAAAATATTTCCATCAATAAATTAAAGATATTTTTTCATAAAGATATCAATATGCTTCAAAAAATACAGTTTCGCATTTCTGAACACAACTGAAATAGTATGAAGTAGTAAAAGGTATAATTACATTAAGTCAATCAATTTAATTTTCCCTCACTAAATGATTATATCACCTTGACTAGCCTTGCTTTTGGATTTTTTGTACTACATTTGTCAAAACAAAATGATAGACATGGGAGTCCTAAAGGGCAAAAGAACATTGCAATTACTTCTCACATGCATACTGAGAAGTGTAAGGTCTGTCTTTGCAAGAACAATTGACTGAAACTGCTAAAAGTTGAATAAAAAAGACTGTCAAATGTTTAGTGTAAAAAAAAAAAAAAACAGAAACAAACAAATGTTCTGTTTAATTGAAATGTTATAACTTTGTTTGTAGCTAAAATTAAAATAGTTTTAAGCTAAGAAGTTACCAAAAGGCCTGATGAATCAATATGATACATAATAAATTCATAAAAACATGTATATGGTATGAAAAATGGGGGTGGGGGGGTGTTGGGTGGAATGATTTTTTTAATTTAATAAAATACAATATTATACGCGTATAAAATGCTAAATAAACATTTTTAACATATATATATATATATATATATATATATATATATATATACACACACACACACACACACACACACACACACATATATATATATATATATATATATATATATATATATATATATATATATATATATATATATACACACACACACACACATATATATATATATATATAAAACTTTTAATATGGATAATTTCAAAAATAGTTTTGGCACAATGGCGCCCCCCATGTGTGGCGCCCCTATGCGCCGCATATACTGCATACCCCCTTTTTGCAGCACTGTATATATATATTCTAAATGCAATTTTTGTTTGTTTATAATAATTATTTTCCATTTTAAAAAGGATGCATGTTCATGAAAAAAGCTATATTACACATTTTCAACTTTACCCATGTATGCACAATACTGTATGTACTGTTGTCTTGTACTGTTGAACTTACTGAAAACTTGGATTTGGATTGTTTAAAATGTTATAGTACAATAACCATCAGCAATAACCAAAAGCACCACTCTCACGGTAAAAAAAAATATCAGATACATGTGACAATCTAATACTGGATCATAAACCAAGCTTTACCTTCAGATGCCAAGATTATTCAAAAATACATTACAAAAATGAATAACTAAAACATCGAATTCAAGAAATCTTTGCTGTCCATAGATTTAGCTCTCTTTAGCCTTCCGACTTTGCCTTGACAAGGTAACCACTAAACGTGATGTAGGTGTCAAAGTCATCACTGAACACAGCATTCTCTCTCTCACCCTTGAAGAGACGAACCCAAACCTGATCGTCCCTCTCCAGCTCCAGCATGAGGCTCTGGCTCTGCATGATGGAGCGATCGCTGGGCTGAGCATACAGAATGGCCATCTCCTGCTCATTCTTCATTAGGTGCAAGTACGTTTCTTTCTGGTTCCAACTGTGTGCATTTAAACTGAAGAAATAGATGCCGGGGATATAGCAGAAGAACTTGCCGGTGAACATGTTGAAGTGGCCATACAGGTTGACAAACTCTGTGTCGAAGATCATGGTCTGGTAGTAATCGTTACTGTGCAGGGCTTTCTTGCGGCCCACAGAGAATGCAGCGTAGTAGGACTTACAGGATTCTCCAGGAGCACCGACGCTGCCTTTGGTTCCCTTTACACCATGGGGCCCTCTGGGTCCATTTTTTCCTGATGTGCCAGATTTCCCATGGAGTCCTCGCTCGCCTGTGTCTCCTTTCTCCCCTGTAAGGGAAGGAATGGTTTCAAGTTTTAGTTAACATCGTTAAAAAGATCTTTTGCATTCCAAATCTATAATTTATAACGCCTCGCTTCCTGAAACTTCATGTTCAGATCCCATTTTAGAGGGTGTTTTAATTGGACATCAAATTATTAAGAATGATGACTCTCAAATGACATAACAGTCATGTTTGTGTCGAGCGAAGATCAGAGTGTTGTGTAGAAGATGGCGCCAATGTCACAGCCATATTTCGTCTGTTGTTTGTGACAGTTTGACCCACAAAGTCACTTTCTGTGGTGGTTCGTGCTTTTCGGTGCATGTTTTCCTAACCGCAGAAGCAGCCTGTGATTAACCATTGGCCCGTGTCATTCACAGACACTGAGATATTCAGCTAAGACTGGTGTTAATCCAAACAGCTATATACAATCAAAGAGATTTAGGAGAGTCGTTCTTTAAATGGGAGCTTTTATACCACAATTATCCTTAAAATGCAAGGAACTGACTTGTGTTTTTTAGGTCCCCAAAGTAGAAAATCCATAGCAAATTTGGACATGTTTTGTACCTTTCAGGATAGTGATGTTTATCTGTGGCACAATTTGGTACTGTGCATGTGGACTGGCAAATTGAGGGGGATCTTCTGCAGGATCGCAGCACCGCCTGCACTCCGTTCCACTGGAATCACAAGAGGAAATATTGACACAGACAGACAGACAGACAGACAGACAGACAGACAGACAGACAGACAGACAGACAGACAGACAGACAGACAGACAGACAGACAGACAGACAGACAGACAGACAGACAGACAGACAGACAGACAGATAGATAGATAGATAGATAGATAGATAGATAGATAGATAGATAGATTCATCAGTAGTAGTAGTAGTACCTGCCATCTCTGTAGTATTCTGTGGATCTCCGATTATCTTTGGGTTCATATGGGTCTTGCTCTCCATCTCTGTTTTGGGTAATGTATGGCTCAGCCCATTTGGCAAACACCAGCACCAGCAGTACCAGATTTGGCATCAGCATCTGTGGCAAGAGTTAACTCATTAATTGGGTAAAAGTTGAGGAAGGAATCAGGCAGTAATAATCATCTGAGCTATTCAGACAATGGCCAAATTATGTTTGCAAGGCAACTGGTCAGAAGTGGTGAAAGTTTACCAACAGTGGTTCAAATAGCTACAACCCACAATGAACCAAGGCTCAACAACGTAAGAGCACCACAATCTGCTTTGTCTGGGACAGCATACTGTAGCTGCAGATCAATCAAGCCCCCAATATCACCTCTGTCCAACCTTGGAGGGCCTACAATGGGGATTTGAGCATCTGAACTGGGCCTTCTGAGCATATTAAGAAAGTCAACTGCTCCGATGAGCTGTTTACTTGAGGAAATAATGACTTCAGGATGCACTGCTGACAAGGTGGTGGAGGGACTTTGATGTATAAGGGCAATGTTCAGCTATAAAATCCTGGATCTGGCAATTCTTGTTAATGTAAATTTGCTGTGCAAACCACCTAAACTACAGTTCAAACCAGCTACACTCCTCGGAAGTGGACTCTTGCAGCAAGATAATGCACACCTTACGCGTTGTTCAGGATTGATTAGAAAGATGTTTTGGAGTATTGCTCTGGCCTCTAAATACCCCAGCTCTCACTTCAGTTGAGTGTCTATGGGATCTTGTAGGCCAAATTGATGGTGGCCTGACTTTGAAACCTACAGGATTTGAAAGAACTGCTGCTAATAAGGGCTTTCACACCACAAACAGTTATAGGAACTAGCCACCAGACATGGTTCCCAGAGAATTAATATCCCCGGGCTATTTTCCTTGTTACTTTCAGAATGATTAGATTAGACCAAGGGTGTCAAAACTCAGTCCTGGAGGGTCTGTGTCCTGCATAGTTTAGCTCCAACTTACTCCAGCTCACCTGCCTGGAAGTTTCTAGTATACCTAAAAAGAGCTTGATTGACTGGTTTAGGTGTGTTTAATTGGGTTTGGAACTAAAATATGTAGGACACTGGCCCTCCAGGGCCGAGTTTGGGCACCCCTGTATTAGACGCTCTTTGAAATTGAAGCTAACTAAGTTCCCCCAAATGGCAATCTAAAACTAAAATCATTCCCAGTACCTTATTGGCGAACAGGCCAAAAAGCGAGCGTTTTTAACAAAACTGTAGCTCTAGGAACTAACAAAAAGTATCTTCAGTGCAAACGCCCCACATGTCTTTGTAACGGATAGTACAGGTAGGCATGAGATGATGACCGGTTTCAAGGTTTAATTGGTAAAATGACATGTTTACTGTTCCTAAATAGTTTTAATGTTTCTTAAAATAAAATATATCGTACTCAATGGGGAAAACAGTTGTTGTTGTTTTTTACCCAGATATTTAAAAAGAACTTATTTAAAAGCAGTTATCCCAATACCTTAAAATCGTGATATTTTTATATTTCTAATATCTAAGGATTCTTACACCGGCCCATGTCTAAGTACAGGAAACTTTCATAGGTCTCGTAGAATCCATGGTTCAGTGAGATGGGACTGGAATAGTGGGCCAATATTTAATTTGAAATTTGTCTGACTACAGTTATTAATCTCTGCACACTGCTAGGTCAGAGGTCACATAGATAGACGTTTACAGTGTCACGTGTTTACACCCTGTGCTACGGGATGGTCAGGGTCATGATAGAGCACTTTATTATAACATGACAGATTTATTACCTTCCCTGTTGTGTGCTATATATCTTGGACCAGCATGTTTTTTTAACGTCTAAAGTGTTAAAGCAGCAACAAAATTGTTTTATGTTGAAATCCAGCTTTGAGGAATTTCATACAAAATGTTTTAATGTGTTAAAACACATGTGTTTTAAATTGTTATTCACTTGTATGATGTTCAGATTAACCTAAACCTCTATATCATTCATTTTTTTCTGTTGTACTTCATCAATTTGGCTTGTTTTCTGTCGTGTTAAATCTAAAGGACACCTGGCGTCTAAAGGCGTCTGATGAGCAAATTGTATTACACTTAATGAATTAAGACATAAAAATTCACTTAAATTATGAAATTATTTGCTGATTTTCTATTACATTCGCACATACACAAAATAAACTTTCACACCCTCACCATTTAGATTAATTATCTTATGAGATGTTGATATCATAAATAGCATCACTGTAGTAGATATAATCATATGTGATCAAATACATCAACATGTATGCTCTTCTCACAGGCCTTTATATACGCACACTGCCCTTTTTGTGATTTTCTGCATTGCTAGCTGTCCCACAAGCAAAATAGTTTGCATTTTTTTTTTATTTTTGCATGCTTGAGAACATTCTGGTACGAAAAAAAGGCCACAAAGGTGAAAAGCAGCCCACATATTTTGTGAAGTAGCTCCGGCAAATTGCTCAGCAGTCCAAAACATTTTACAATCCTTACAAGCACTAGTCAAGACCAGAATGAGCTCCAAAATACATCTACTTACAACAGATTACAAATACTGTGGCCATCAACATTCTTCTATAGAAACATTTTTTTCATAAGGAATGCAATCATAATGTTCATAAACAACTTTCCACATTTCATGGCCTGGATACTTGACAAATTAAATGTTCATGATTTATCGTGTTTCCCTCATTGTGAAGATTTCAAATTCAAATGTATGTGGGTCAAAGACTAAACATTTAATTTCAATATGCACACCAAATTGTGATTTTAAACAGTACACAGAAAACATATTAAAGCCTTGTTAATGTTTCATATAGCTTGTGTGAAAACCTAATATTAAAATATGGGTGAAATAAATTTCCATCATCATTCAGAGATAAAACAACATATTTAGTCTGACCTGTACTTATTTAAATCATGTGATCATACTAAATTCAATTATATTTGAGTTGATTAAGAGCATCAGGTTTCCCAGTGAAGGGTTGCAGGTGGAAGAACATCTGCTGCGTAAAACATATCCTGGATAAGTTGGCGGTTCATTCCACTGTGGCGACCCAAGATTAATAAAGGGACTAAGTCAGAATTGAAATTAATGAATGAATGAAGAACATCCTGCTGATAAATGGTTAAAACCTAGTGTTTTGAAGGATATTGGCAATACCTAAAATGTAAAACTACTATTTATTTATATTAGAGCTTTTATTTCTTACTCAATTGTTGTGTATTTCCCTTTTTTGGATAAAATATTGTTACTGTCACGCAAGGGTCTGGGACAACAGAGGTAAGGATCCACATGCAATTTTTTAAAAACAGTAGACAGGCAGGGAACGGTTAAACAGGAGCATAAAGGTTAACCAAGATCATAGTCAAAAACAGGTGAAAGGTCAGTACCGGCGGCAAATAATCAATATAAATGGTAAAACAGGGAAATGTAGGGATGGCTGACGTGAGTATAGAGATCCCAAAGCGCAAGTGTTTCGAAACACTGCACTGAATCATAATCCGAAACTCCCAGGTCATGTGACTAAAGAGATTTAAAACACCAGGTCACATGTCTAAAGAGATTCAAAGCATTGGTCATTTCAGAAGTGTTTCGAGACTTAGAAAATCTGCATTTGACTGACAGGGTCGGGATACAACCTCTATCTTATGTAGCCTAGTGCACTGTGCTTGTGCACAGAGTAACTGCACAGCTGCTGTTGCGAGTACGAATCACGACTTGTACAAATACTCTAAAATTATGACTTGATGTATTTTAATAATGTTAACTTTTTATGACCAAAACAAGACAGATTTATTTACAAAATGTTCATGCGGATGTCAAATCAATGTTAAAATAAGGCATGTTACAAGAACAGAGCATTTCAAAATAACGTCCCCATTATCTCCGCATGCTAGTCAGGTACTTTGATCGCTTCATTAAATCATTTAAAACCTCAATTCTATAACGTGGGATATAATTCCTCAATTTGCTCAACTGTTTATTTGCTGACGCTGTTTCAGAGCAATACATAAAAAAATAACCACTAGATGTCACTATAGAGATGGGTTTTGAAACGTTTCGAAGCTTCGACACATTTGCTTCGACTGCTTTGGTGTTTCAGGAAGCCTTGCTCTGCCCACCACTACGAAAACGCTTGGTGTTCTAAAACACAAACATGACTGCGCAATGATGTGTGTGTGTGTGTGTGTGCTGTGTATATAGTCCATCTGAGTAGTCCAGGGGCCTGTTTCAGTAAGGAGGTTCAAACAACTCTGAGTTTAAACTTGAACTCTGAGTTGATTTACAGAGAGATTAAAAACTCTGAGTTTTCGGTTTCAGAATAGCTGATATGAGCTGGGTCAATCAACTTTGAGTAGACCAACTCAGAGTTAAGCGCGCACACCGTGACTATAAAAAGGCATTATCAATAGAGCGCAGATATTATGAGTGACTATGGCAACATCTTAAAAAAAGAGATCACCATTTCTTTCTCCGGCTGAACTTGATCTGCTCATGCAAAGTTTTAGCAAATATGAGTGTATATATTTAAAAAGAAGCAACCATCAGTGAAACAGAGACAGTTAGCGTGGGAAAACAGCTGCTCAAGTTAATGTGTAATTTTTCATTTTAAGTAGGCTATTTAAACATTTAAGTATAATAAAATAAGTAATGTTATGTGTGACGTTTATAGCCTACTTTTTTTCTAAACTTTTATACACTTTTATCAGTTTTAATAGATTTAACAGTGCACTTGTTGTGTGTCTGCCTTTTTATTGATCAAGTGATAGAGGTTTATATAACATTAAGAAGGTAAGCAGTAATAAAATAATTTTAGACAGAATAATAATCCCATTAATCTAGTAACAGTGCATGTCGAAGGTTAAACTAATTATTTATGAAAAAAAGGACAAGCCTTGTACGTGACTTTGTTTTGTGTGTGACAAAAATGTAGGCAATAGCTGTGTTTCCATCAAAATATAGGCTATTACATAAATTTGTGCAAAACTGGAATAACGCCTAAAAATAAAGCAGCGTTTTTATCCAAAGAGTCGAAGAGAACACAATCGTCACTTCCTGATTAACTTGCGCCAAATATCAACAGTA